ACAAATTGTTAGTAGGTATGAAGTTTTCATTCAAACAGGTTCACCCCAAAGAAAACACCATCATTGTTTTAATTAAAATGATTATGTTATTTTGCATGAATTAGAATTTGTATAGTTATACAGCTGATTCCTATGTTATGCAAGTGAGGTACTGGTAAATGTTTTAAGTGCCTTCCAAAAGAAAGAAAAATAATCCCTGATTGCAGTGTTTGCCAGTTTCCATTGTATAAATACTCACCATGGCCAATTTCAAGCTACCAACCTGCTGTCACTGAACTGTGGTGTTAGAAAAATGTGCACAGTTGGCTTTTGTGAGCACTGTGAGCTGGCTCCAGCACATCTGTGGTTGATTCTTTTTCTCAAGAAATGGCAGAGCAAACATGAATGTTAAGAGCACTAGGAGCGAAATTTTCCATAAAACAATGAATGAAACAGACTTGGACTAAAAGAGTCCAAGTAGCTGAAGGACACAGTGATCTGGAAGGAATAGTCCTTCTATACTAGAATGAACTAGAAGGAACAGAAAACTGGAGAGGAACTGATCCATTCTCTCTGACACATGAAGATAGTCTATATTAGCCAAACTAACAAAGTTGCCATTCAATCTAATTTCTTAGTTTATATCAATCAAAATCATTCTAGGTAATAGTAGAAGCTATACTTACTGTGTAATAAATTTTTATTTATTAACTAAATTTTGTTCCTGGTCTTCTTAGTTATAACAAATTGGTCATCCCTCAGGTTCCTTTTCTTAGGTTTTAAGATGGGCAGATACTAATTACTGAATATTGGTTTATTGCTGAATACCTTGATAATTTTGTTACACAGGGTTTAGGGGTAAACTGTTGTGGCTTTATCTTCAGTATAAAAAGAAGGAATTTTTTAAGAGTCAAGAAAAAAAAAACCAGAAAGAAGAAAAAAAAAACCAACCAAAGTATTATTATCCAAAGGAAGCAGTGTTACAACAGGGCCTTTTTGGATGGCTACAAATCAAAGCTCTGTTGCACAAACATCCTCCCTTATCTCGTAAGCAATAAGCAGTTGTGGGTTATCAATAGGTTGTATTGGTGACATTTGATGAGCTAGCATTCACAGCACATTGTATCATATAAGATCAGATTCCGGGTGTATCAGAGGGTAGTGGCATGAAAGATGGCATCTTCAAATAAGTAATTTGAGGAGAATTTAATGAAAACACTATTTATACATTGCGGGACAAGGTTTTTTAAAAGGCAGTGTGTGATAGAGTGGGATTAAGACTAGTCCATCTAAGATTCAAAGGATAAGGGGAGGGAGCAGGTACCATTTACAGAAGACAAGCCATACTCAAGGATTCAAGATTTTGCAGTTGCAGAAGGGTATATTTATTACACAGAGTTATGAGATATTGTCACCTGCCTTTATGTAGATAGAAACAGAGTTCACAGTTAAGATCTTAGATGCAGTTAAAAAAAAAAAAAACACCAGAAAACAAAACCCAAACGAAAAGAACACAGATCTATAGAAGTAGTGTGGGAGAGGGTCACTTTATAGGAATGTGCTTTAGGGACACGGCAGCCTTTGGCACATCCAAAAAATAAACAAGGAACAATAATATCAGGACTTCACCCTCTCATTTCCCCAATCTTTTCTGATCTTCCTCACTGGTCAACTCAATAGAGGCTAGAGAGCAAATTAGCCCTTGATGTAGTCCAAAGAGGTGACACTCTTAGGGCAGAGAGAAGGTGGAAAAGGTGGAACAATCTGGAGCAGCAAATGGAAGCTATTCTCAGAGATAACAGAGGGAGCACAATCATACTCTCTCATTTTTGACAGAAATGCTGGAAAACATATATTGATAGATTCTAATTCCTGCAGGTCTTTTATTTTATGAACACTGATAATTCAGTTACGTATATTTAGAAGCAGGAGTGACATCTGAATTTTTGTGCGTAATAAAAGGGAAGAGGCATTCCAAAGTCCAGAACATCAGGAAGGAGACAGAGGGTGTCTCGCATGCAGTGTGGTATGTGTTTTAGATCTGTAGATGTGTTTAAAACAAGAAGGGAATTCTCTCATGTCAGAAACTGGGAAATACCTAAAACCTACACTCAGCCTGTAAACCATGGAGTAAATTCACAGCAGAGAATATGTGAGATGTTTTTGATGCAGAATGGTGAGAACATCACAAGAATGTTCATCCCTGAACAGCGAGAAGCAGGAGCTAGAGACGCCCAGTGCAACAAGGAGGTGTTAATTAGGGCATCGTGGCAGAAACAGCAAGGTATCTGATGCTCGCACACCCCCACTTTGAGCTCTACTATGGGTCAATAGCAAGCACATGACTGTACCTGCCTGTAGTCCAGAACAGATGAGTGTGTGAAAAAGTCAGAGGTTGGAACAGAAGACACCACATGGGGTATGGACTGTCCTTGCCAGAGCTCAGTTGTTGCAACCTGAAGCTTTCTACTCTCACTGAATATGGTAGAAACCATCCTGGATGCTGTACTGCCTGCCCAGGTGGTTGCCATTGCAGGCAGTCACCAGGTGAATAGAGAGGGAACAAAGAATACTCTTCTGCAGCTGCAGAAGAGTATATTTATTACACAGAGTGATGGAGGATATTGTCACCTGCCTTAATGTAGATAGAAACAGAGTCTCACAGTTAAGATCTTAGATGCAGTTAAAAAAAAAACACAAAAAACAAACCCAAAGTACAAAATCACAAACACTTGGGAAAGCACACACCACAAAAAAAGCAACTCAGCAAATGTGAAATGTGTATTTGAGTAAACAGTTGATAGAGCAAATAGACTAAAACTTTATATAATATGCTTAATGTTTCCAGGGGTACAAAAGATAAGAACAATCCCCCAAAAGGATCCACTTAGAGACTGTTGAAATAAAAAAGTTTAAAACAGGCTAAAGAGCAGGAAGGATTTAGATGAGGGGTGAATTGCTGAGCTCAAAAACAGGGCTAGGGAATTTTCTCAGATGTAGCACAAAGAATGAAGAGATGCAAAGTACAAAGGGAAAGTTAAGACAAAATGAATAGATTTAAGATTGAATATCTATCTAAAGGGGTGCCAGGCAAGAGATAAAAGAGAGGAGAGAGAATCGATATTTTAAAAAATGATACCTAAGAATTTGTGAGTTGAAGAAAGAAATGAATATCAACCTATAGCCCGAGATGCCAAAGAGGAAAAATATTTAAAATACACATACTGAGATCCATAGCAGAAAAATTCTAGAAAACCAAAGTAAAGAGGAAACCCTAAAAGCTACCAGAGACAAAACTGGATTAGTGACAAAATTTGTGAGAATCAGATTGGATTCAAACTTCTCGTTTCCACCACTGGTTATAGGAAGATAATGAATCAGTTTCTTCAATAATTTGAACTTAGAATGCTATACAAAGCTATCATTTAGAATTAAGAGGAAAGTGAACAGATTTTCAGATATATAAGAACTCAGTTTACTCCCATAGAATTTCTCTGAAAAAAATTATTAAAAGATTACTATAGTAAGAAGAAAAATACAATAACTCCTGTTGGAAGTAATTGGTACAAAAACCAATGATGAGAGAAAATTATGAAATATATTAAATATTATTAAAATATTTTAAAAACACCTACTAAATTCTAGATATTTAATACAGCAATGATAGAAGAGAAAGAGGTAATAGGACAGAAGGAATGAATTTTAAGACAAAATGTTTAGCCGTGGGATTATTTGTTATGGCAGTCTAATATAGGAAGTGTGTTCTGCAGGCGGTATTTCAAGAGTTGTGAACATTAAAGGGATAATAAAACACAACCCTATATAGTAGCATATGTGAAAACAAAAAATTAAGATTCTAGATCTTGAGTCCTTGTTGCCAAATAGGAAGAAGCAACTAGAAGAATTGGACATTGATCAAGGGACAAGAATGCAAATTATCAGGACAAATGGAGCATTTAAATTGGATTCTTCACTGTTCATATGAATATAAGAATGCTGTTGTGACGATAATACAGTACAATGTTTAATAACTTAAATTACTTACAATCTTTGCCCACACATTTACAGCTACATCCAATCCCTAACCTGTGCCAGCTCTCTAACTCACTTGGAATCAATTATGTTTTATCACTGCATTCATGAATTGAACTGTGTCGTTCCATCAGCCTGCCTGTAGGGCATAACCTAGGACACTCCGTATTGTCTTTTCATAAAGACGTCATTCTCTGCATCACAAAACTGCCCTTTACTTTGCTTTTTGAATGAAGTATGCTCAGGTTTCAGTATCCATGTGTTCCTGAACAACTGGCTTGTTTTTGTAAATAACATGTAAATAGCAAATGTCCATTAGTTGGGCAAGTATCTTTTAATAACTTTAGCTGTTAGAATGTTAGAGCCGGATTAGTGGTGTTATGTACTAAATAAATGTACTAATCCTTCCTCTCTATTTTATTTTTGACTCACATTTTCCCTTCAGTTGGATTTCCTCATGATGATCTATCTTCTGTTTTTAGTTGCCATTGATTTATAATGCTGGTTTAATAACAGTCTCTCAATAGCAAGAGAAACACTATCTCATCTCACTAAAGTACACGTCCAATTATACACACTCCCTCATTTCAGAAATTTTAAAATTAGAAAAAATTGTTACTTATAATCAAACATATTGATCTTATCCTTTTATATTATACATGTTTTAATAAACCAAGTCAAATTCTTTGAAGTAGTACACAAATTTAATTCAGTAAAAGAACCCTATTAGTTAGTTATTTTAGTATCTAAAGAGAAAAGCAGCCTTAGTAGGTAGTTGTGTGTTTTGAAGAAGGAAATTTATCAAATAGGAATTCCTTAGTATATAATAAAGAGTTGATTATTCTGAAAACATCTTTCATATAAAAGCTTATGATTACCATATTGCCATGTTCAAACAACAGAGTTTATGTTCTGGAGATAAAGATGGGGGACTGATTAAGTTTCAGGAAATTGTTTTTGCTGGGAAAAGAAACTGGTCGTCTACTCACTGGATCCTTCGGTGATATTGCTGGCAAATGAACTCTCCCCTGCTGAGCTGTATCTCTTGCCATCTCTGAATTGCTGCCTTCTCCTGGCCCACTGGTCTATTGCTTCTTCCTGGGAACCATCACTGGCTCTTGCACCTCTTGGAGCCAACTCCTGAGATAACTTTCGGAGATTATTTATTTCCAAATTCCAATCTAGAATAAAACACATTACATATGAAAATGAGACTAGATTTCAGGATAGACTATCAAATATTCCAGTCTTGGAAACATAGAATCACAGTAGACTAGAACTAGAATAATTTCATTTGACTTCTTTGTGGTTCACTTTCTAAAATTGTATTACTTAAATAAAGAGCCATGCACCTTAAAAAATAGATTTATATGGGTAAAGGCAGGGAGGGGGTTACCAAAGGTTGCCTCAGTTGGATTTAATTTAACAGGTATTGCTTGGGTATCAGCAGTATGCATGATACTATATTGGTTATTGTGGAGGGGAAAACTGCAAGTTAATTGTCAAGTATGTCCCCTAAATTCTAAATAAGGAGACAGAATATTATTACCTGAATATCAAGTCCACTTATAATCCATGATAATAACTTTATTATTAAACTCAAGTACTTATGGTTTGACTTTTATTAGTCATGAATATACAAATTTCATGATACTTTTGCTGCATATGTTTGTTCAAAATGAAGAAAACGGAAAAAAATCTCAAAATTCATAAAGGCTTTGCTAATTTTATATTTGAATAAATAACAACTTGAAATATTTTATATAGTTCCAAACTGCTGCCTTCTGTCATCACAAACCATGACACCATGACACTGTATTAATTTGAGGAAAAAAATTATGAATGAGCTACTGCCATATAATCAAACTTTAAGAAAATAACTGAAAAAGTAAAATAATAAAGAAAACTCAAATAGGGGATCATATAATACAACTAGAAAGTAATTTGATGAGTTAAAACTAAGATTTTACTTGATATTACTTTTTTGATACCATATATATATAAAAGGCAAGCAACATAAATTTAAAAAGAGGCCAAGTCTTGACCTTTATTTTTATTCTATTTCAAGCAGCAAATGAGTTTTTACAATTTGGTCTTTGCAAACTAAAATCTAATTTATCAATATCAAACTTTATCCTCAGAACTATTTAAATAATAAATGGGATCCATCTATGAATAATTAGTCTTCTTTATGTCTATATATAATTATTAATGATTCATTTCCATAACAATTTAACACTTGTCAGGGTCAAACAAACAAGTGGGGAGAGAGAAGAATCATTACCAATTTCTTTAATTTTTAAAACTCTGCTGTGGACTCCTACCTCTTCCCTGGGAAATAAGAGGGTGATAAGAAAACAACATTCATTCTATAATATTTAGTGTTCAGTTTCTACATGCTAATTTCCACTGTGTTGGGTATTAAGGCTGTAATAATGAGCAAGATGACTTTTGCTCTCTGGAATTTTACAGAGTGGTGGAACTTTTAAAAATACTACAGAATTGACCTCTGGCTGTTTTCTCCAATGCTTGTTCTAGTTCCACTATTCATTGAGATTGAGAGTCAAGGTTGACTATAAGGCATCCACAAGAAAAGTACTTTTCTAATGTCAAATAATTTACATGTAAATGCAATTTTTTTTAACCTGCTGGGGAAAAAGTAAGTCCTATGAGCCTAGGTAATTGTGTGTGATAGATATGGCCCTGTAATATATTGGGGAAAGTTTTTTTCTAGAATCTTTTTATACACTTAAATTAGGAGATAGTGTGTGCCCTACCATATGTTTTGAAGTATGATTTGAGAACCACTGAAACACCCACCAAGTATAAAGCATCACTCCCACTGTCCTGGTTGGTATTTGTAGAATCCCAGGTTTGCAAAGAATATAGAGGCAATTTGGTCCAATCACCCTCTCTAAACTCAAAACACTTCTACAGAGTCTCTACCAAGTAGTCATTTAGTCTAAACTGAAACACCTCACAGACTCAAATGTATTACCTGTTGAGTCAGCCTAATCCTTATATACTACAGTTCAATACAGATTTTACATGGTGCATTGAATCTATATCTCAGTAATCTTCATTCACATGTGAGCCACTCCCTCATTCAGTGAATACCCAGTAGATGTTTACTGAGCCTTTTTAGCAATCAGGCAATTTGCTTGTGCAGGAATAAGATATACAAGTCTCTTGAGGGACTCCGTTAAAATGCACACTGTGTTAATTAGATGAAAAAAAATTACAAATGAGCTACTACAATACAATCAAACTTTAAGAAAATAACTGAGAAAAGTAAAGTAACTTTGTAAGGATAATATGTTCATCCATTTAAAAATCACAAATGCTGAATAGGAGTGGCGACAGTGGGCAACCTTGTTTGGTTCTAGTTCTAAGCAGGACTGCTTTCAATTTTTCTGTATTCAGCATGATGCTGGATATAGATTTGTCATGTATGGCTTTTATAATTTTGAGGTATGTTCCATCTATGCCTATTTTGTTAAGAGTGCAAAAGATATGAACAGAAACTTTTCAAAAGAAGATGGACTAATGGTCAATAAACAAACATATGGAAAAATGCTCAACTCTGTAATAATCAGGGAAATGCAAATCAAAACCACAATGAGATAACACCTAACACCAGTGAAAATGGTTTTTTATCAAAAAGTCCCAAGACAACAACTGTGTGAGTGGATGCAGAGAGAAAGGAACAATTACACATTGTTGGTGGGACTGCCAACTAGTACAACCTCTATGGAAAGTAGTATGGAGATACCTCAAAGTAGACCTACCATTTGAACCAGCAATCTTATTATTGGGTATTTACCCAAAGGAAAGAAAAGTCATTTTGTAAAAAAAACACTTGCATTAGAATGTTTGTTGAAGTGCAATTCACAGTTGCAAAGATGTGGAATCAAACCAAGTGCCCATCAGTTCATGAGTAGATTAATATAATGTGGTATATGTATACCATGGAGTACTACGCAGCAATAAAAAATGGTGAACTAACACTTCTTGTAACCACCTTGTAAGTGAAGTATCATAAGAATGGGAAATCAAACACCACACGTTACTATTAAATTGGAATTAATTGATCAACACTCATGTGCACATATGGTAGTAAAACTCAACAGAAATCAAGCAGGTAGGAGAGGGGAGGAAGGGATGAGTAAATACACACCTAATAGGTACAATGCACACTAGCCAGGTGATGGACACACTTCTAACTTTCATCCAAACTATACAAAAACAATTCACGTAACAAAAATGTCTATACCCTTGTAATATTCTGAAATTAAAAAAAAAATCTCAAATGCTTTACCAAGGGTTTAAATGTATGTGACCCCTTAAAATTCATATGTTGGAACCTAAGACCCAGTATGATATTATTAAGAAGTGAGGCCTTTAGGTGATTACATTTTGAGGGCTCTTCCTTCATGAACGGGATTCATACCCTTCAAAGAAGGCTGGAGTTAGCTAGTTAGGCCCTTTTGTCTTTTTTTCTTCTGCCACATGAAGATGAAGCAACAAGGAGCCATCTTGGTAGCAGTGAGAAGGCCCTCTCCAGACATTTACCACTGGGACCTTGACCTTGGACTTCTCAGCCTCCAGTACTGTAAAAAATAAATTTCTGTTCTTTATAAATTACCCTATCTCTGGTACATTACTATAGCAGCATAAATCTCAATCATGAGTGTGATAGTGGAAAGCTACTACCTTGAAAGCCAGAGGTAGGCCCGGGAAGTGAGTGGGAAGACCAAGAAGCAACAGCAGATCTGGGAAGAGCCTTGCTGAGGAAAGCATGGGCATTGTTGATAGACCTGGCACCCTGGGCTACACAGGTACTGAGACATGTTCAAATGAACACAGATATGGAAATTACAATTTCTGGTGGAACACAGATATGGAATTACAATTTCACCAGAAGTCAGATTGCTGAAAATTATCCCCAAAGTTGTATTCTGCTACAAGAAAAAGAATAATTTTTATTCATCTTTATATTCATAGTGCTTGGTGTAGAGCTTGGGGCCTCAAACTTTCTCAGATCTGCAGTCCTCTATACCTTTCTGCCTTGTTGGGAACTCTTGGAATAAGTCCTACTTTAGGGGCTCAGGGAAATAAAATATTTTACACATTGCTTGTAAGTTTTGTGCCATATTTCATAAAAAGGGCTATTTAATTATGAGTATTTCTATGCCATGCAAAATATCATCTGGTCTTTCTCATTATCTGTCATTTTCTCAGGGTGGCCTAGTTTTAGTTTCCTCATTAAAATTTTTTGTGATATAGAATTTCTGGTTCTTTGCCAGAACTCTTTAAGATACGTTTCATTCCATTTACAGCAGAAAAAAATGATGCCTTAAGTGAGCACCTTTTCACCCAAGAAAGAATAGCCCAAACCTAGCAAAGGAAGAACCCAGCATTTAGTTATTAAAGGTTCCAATTGGTATCCTTTCGTCTATACCACCCTGGCTCTGTTACTTCCCACCACACCCCACCCCACCCCACCCTACCTCCTGTTGTTAATCTAGTTCAGAAGTCACAGATTGTTTAGTCTGTACTGTGTCTCCCAAATCCTATAACCTAGAGACTCATGTGTAGAAAATCCAGATCTCCAGCTATCCTGAGAAGTCTGAAGGACTGGCTGTACTGGATCTGTGTTCTCATTTCCTCAGGACACATTCTCACTGGTTCACCAACCCTCCAGACTTACTCACCTGCAGCCTGCTTTACTCATTTACATCACCTGCCTGGCTCCTGTAGACAGTCCAGACTGTGACCTCTAATCTAGTTAATTCCTAAACACAAACACATGGCAGGAGGAGCTACATAAATATTAGAGTCAGCTGACTCTGAATCTGAGCTACATGGACAGACTTTGAGGAGTTAGAGGACCCTTTTGAAAATGTAGGCATAAGTTTGTATCTTTATCAAATTTATGATTTTCTGGTGAAATGATCCAAAATCCAGTTCCTCAAAGCAATCTATGGCCTGAAAAGATGACAAGAGTCCTGGCATGAGGTGTCAATAATAAGCGGACAATAATGTTGAATACAGTGTAAAAATACTGACACCTCTAAGACAGTCAAATCCATGCAAACATTTATAGATTCAAATTCCTTTTAATACAAATATTTTAATTGCTGTTTTCCTGGGTTTTGTTTGATTGTTTGATTTGGTATGTGAACAGAATATTATACAAAGAAACCTAATATGACTTCCTTGCATTAATTCTTTCATTCAACAAATACTCATTGAATGTGTATACTGTAGGACATGCACTGTCTCATGCTGTGGATACAGCAATGGCCAAAACAAAAAAAAAATCCATACCATCATGGAACTTACATTCTAGTGGAAGAAGACAGAACATAAACAAAATAAACCAGTAAATTATACAGCAGATTAGAAGTTGAAAAGTATATTCATAAAAGGAAAACATGGAGAAGAGACAGAGTTTGCCTGGGCTGGAATGAGGGTGGCTCAGACTGCAGTTATAAACTGAGCAATCTGAGAAGAACTTCCCAGGAACACACCATGTGAGCAAAAATGTAAAGAAGATGAGGAGATGAGAACGAATCATGCAGACATATGGGGCAAGACTGGTCATTGGAACAGCCCATGCAAAGGGCCTGATGTGGGATCTTGGCTGGAAGTTCTATGAACTCAGGTTAAGTCCATGTGGCTGGAACAAAGTGATCAAAGGAAAGAGGAGAAAAAGATCCAGGAAGAGGGTTGTAGAAACAGTCTTTTGATGAAACATAATAACACAGGGAATGAGTAGCTGGAATCATTTACCAAATGAGACAATTTTAAAATGTACTGAAATGTAATATCAGCTTTGGGAAGGTTCTGACTTTTGTTATTGACTTTCCTAAGAAATGTGCCTTGTTGGGAGAGGCAGTACAGGGGGCATCTGCCCCTGAGGGAGGGAGAGCCAGCCTGGGAGGGATGTTAATTTAGGTGACGTGTCTCCTCTGGGAGGCACAAGTGCTGTTATTGCAGGTTCCCTTGCAGTTCCAAATAACTAAGGACTGAAGCAAATTTGGGATTAATGTCCTTGATCCTGATATCTGGAGATACGTTGGCACTGGGAAGCAGTTCCTGTGACTGAAGTTCTTTGAGTTAGGGTGTTCATATCTAGCAGGTGACCATATAGTGTTTGTATTGAGGGCATGTGTTTTCTATAAAGCAAATTTCACATTTTATGCCAACATTTGCGTGATTGATTATGCTTTCTGTATTTTATTTCTACTTCTAAATTTTATTAATTTCATTAAAAAAAATCTACAGATAGGGCAACAAAGAAAAGATAACTTCTCCTTTAAGTTTCATTGCTCCAAATCTCATTTCTGAGGTTGTCAGGAACGTTACTTGCAGTTTGGAAGGCAGTTTTTTACTCATTCAAGATGTATTTTCATGTGTAATGTGGAATAATGCTAACATTAAATGTAAAATAATTCAGACTCATTGACAAAAACAATGGCCTTCTAGGAAGTGATCAAAATGATGTGTTGCTGACCCAAGATGGAAAGCAGACAGACAGTATTAAGTACTTAGGGAAGAACTTCTATCTTAGCCCTTCTTGCGGTCTGGAGAGTTTCTGGCTTCTATCAACAGTCTGAGCAGGGCCAAACCAATGCACAAGGGAGGTCAGAGGTGTGCGAGGGGTCAGAGGCCCCATGGATGTCTCAGTCAGGACTAGCTATGGTCGTTTCTGGTTTTCGTCCTTTGTTTTAATTACTATTCCACACGGCCTCCTGAGACATGCATACCATGCTTCTGCAACACCACAGCAAGGTTTAAAAATACACTTTATTATAAACATATTCTTCCTATTCTTCTAAACATGCTTAGCTTGCAAGAAGGGAAGAAATCGTGGATTATTTAAGAGTGGCAAAAGGCTAACATTTCCTATAAATTGATTTGGCAATACATCACTCTTTTAAAGAGAAATTGATTTTTTTTTTTTTTTTACTTTGTATTAAATTGCAGCCTTGGTGATTTTGCTATGCACTATTTATGGGTGGAGTGGGTGATAATGTAAAGAAGGAGACTGATATATGCTTGCCCATATTCATGTAACTCTAAAATACACGATATATCTTTAGCAAGAAAGAAAAAATTCCAAGCAATAAAAAAAGCCTTCACTTTAAAACTTTCCAAAGTGCAAACATGTAAAAATAATGAAAGTTAAAGATTCTGTACAGCCCATCATACCTTTTAAAGTCTTTTGCTTCTGAGGAGACAGAAATACCTCTATTTGGTGATAGTAATTTTCCTTTGAGTCATTTTTGCTCTCATCTCCTTCAGAATTCACCATTGTTGAGGTAGTCCTTGGGTACTCTTCTGGCTCCTGTTTAAAACCAGTTAGTCTAAAGCTTTTCTTATCTTGGCAACCATATTGGTCTACATCATTGGACAGTATTTTCTCAGTAAGAAACAGGTTATCTGTAGCAGACACTGCCCAGTTGGACTCAGCAGTGTTCAGTGAAAAATCCATTTGAAAAAACACTTCATCATGATTCTCATTTGATAGGTCTTCAAAATCTCTGTGGCTTCCATTTGCTACCAATGGTATTATCTGACATTTGTCTTTTTCAACATTTTCCAGAGATCTGGGTAACTCTTTAGGGTTTCTTTTTCCCATGGGACAATTAGAATCAGCTGTGACTTCTTTATCATTTTGAGTAATTAATCTCTGCTCTAACTCATCAGTTATGAAGGTCATGCCAGGTGCTTTCGCTTTGCTGGGGGCTGCTGTCTCTGAATGACTTGCCTGGGACTCTGTTTGATTCCATTCCACGGTGCTGGGGCTAATACTGTCATGTGGACTCCCAGCAGCTGGGCTGCTGCAGGGTGCAGGCCTGAAAGTTGGACACTCTGTACTTTTCCTTTCCAATAGTTGCTGTGCATTTGCATGAGAGTCACTGTGTACAATGGCTTTGTTAAAGTCTCTGTCAGTCACATCAACATGCTCCTTCTCATAATCTAGCACAGATTCGGTACAGTGATTAAAGGAAACTGTGGTACAGTGATTAAAGGAAACTGTGTCCCCAGGAATTTCTTTAGGATCTGAATACCTGGTGGCCCAGTGAGATGGACTGAATGAGGTGCAAGGCTGTAGAGCATTTTGACTGGAAGCAAAAGACAGAGAATTTGAGTCCTCACAGCATTCTGCAGGTGAAGTTTGGCTGCCTTCACAATAGACGTTGGCTGCTTTTTCTCCTACAAGCTGCATATTCAGAGAAGACAAAGAACAAAAGTTGGAGTCTTTGCCATTTTGAAATGGAAAGATGTCGGTAATAGTACTTGGCAAATTATTTATTCTTTCTGTGCTTTGTTGTATGTGTGAGTCTGATGTGATATTTTCCAAGATATCAAAGTTCATTTTTCTCTCTTTATAGATATCCTTAGGATTCTCAAAAGGCATTTTCGTTAAATCTGTATTACTTAAACTTGTGGTCTTTAGGGTATTTTGTGAAGTAGAAAGAATGGTTTTGAGAAAGGTCTCAGCCTCAGAGAAATGGTTCATTTGGGGGGCGTCCTGACTCATTTTCAAGACCTTCTGCTGAGAGATGGCAGATCCTACTTCACAGTCATCTAGGACTGAAGGTAATGTGTCAGGGTTATTTTTCTCTCTCTCTGGAGTTGCGGTTAGAGAAACCACAACCGTATCAACATTCTTCTCCTTCTGGACAGGAAGCACAATAGGAGGAGAGACATGCATACAGTCTGAGCTCTGATGCTTGTTTTCAAGCTGCCTGTTTTCAGGGTGCCTAGCACCAGACTGTGAAAGAGACCTGGAAGATTCTTTAGTGGTGTGATTGGAGGAAACGTCTCTGTATTTAGTTATCTTTTCTTTTCTTTTAGGATGAGTTATATTAATTAATATATTCTGTTTCTTACTCGTGTATTTAACTTTAATTTCTTTTCCCGCAATGCTTACTTTCAGCAAGGGGCTATCAGTTCTGGTGATTTCTCCTTGATATTTAGATGGCACCTCCGGTTTTGGTTCTTTCACTGATATATTCTTGTATTTGGGAAAGTAATTCCCAGAAGCGTAGCATCTCTGATTGTGTCTGACAGAGAAACGCTGGTGACAGTTTGAACATCTCGTTTTTGTTGGGAACTGCATTCCTGTTTTACAGAAAAAGCTTTTCTTGATTTCTACTTTCACATGGAAAGCCCCGCATTTCACTTCTGTAGTATATTTGCCTTTTGCTGGTTTAGAGGCTTCTGCTGTGCTTGGGAAATCCTGTAGTGTAATTTTTCCTGATAATGATTCTTCACAGTCATTAAATATGACCACTGGTAAGATTTTCTTTGGTTGATGAGAGATAGTTGAAGGAGGATCATCATTTTCCTTCCCACTACGTACTTTGCTGTCAGATGGATGTTGTTTCTTATCTTTGGGGAGAAAAGAGGAATTCTGCTTTCCATTCATAGAAGCAGATGTCTGTTCATCTCCATTTTCCTTAGATTTCCCTAATGTCCCAGTCTGATGAAACACAGCCTCCAAGGTGTCTCCTTTGACTTCCTTTTCAAGATCTTTTATATTTTCTTGGCATGCTTGACCAGCAGGCTGAGATGTGCCTAAAGAGGAAAGAAAAAAAAAAAATAAAAAGGTTTTCGTGTCCATTTAGAGAGCAGATGTTCCAAATGCTAGGATAAAGTGCGATGCATATCCTTTGTTAAATATTTTAGGTATCAGTTTTCCTTCATTTCTATTATGTCAAGATATTTTCCACAAAAGCTCACCTCTAATAGGTATCTTATTTTAAATCAATCAATTCTCTTAGAGTGTAGAATATTACTTGATAGTTCTAGGAAGTAAGAATTTAATTAAGCTTTATTAAAGCAACAACTTCTATAAGGGGGTGAAATGAAAATTTCAGAAGAAATGTATGCAATTAAATTTTATTTATTTATTTTTTTTGAGACAGAGTCTCACTTTGTTGCCCAGGCTAGAGTGCCGTAGCATCAGCCTAGCTCACAGCAACCTCAAACTCCTGGGCTCAAGCAATCCAGCTGCCTCAGCCTCCTGAATAGCTGGGACTACAGGCATGCGCCACCATGCCCGGCTAATATTTTCTATATATATTTTTAGCTGTTCAGCTAATTTCTTTCTATTTTTTTAGTAGATATGGGGTCTCTCTCTTGCTTAGGCTGGTCTCGAGCTCAAACGATCTGTCAGCCTCAGCCTCCCACAGTGCTAGGATTACAGGCGTGAGCCACTATGCCTGGCTTGCGATTAAATTTTAAATGAAACTTTTGATAAGTAGAAAGTTGCCACAATCAGGTATTTGAACATGGTATTACACCATAGGCTAAATCAAGCCTGATATAATTTGAGATGGTATCACAAGTGAAGATGTGGGTAAAATGAATAGAAGGGACCTTAGTATGGATCTTACACAGCTTTTCAAACAAGTCCTGTAAGTTTCTTTTGGCCCTGCGGCTTATTAAGAAGAGCTTCACACACTCAAATGCCTGTGGCAGGTAATATAAACAAGTGAAGCTGGCGGGCACACACGTTCTGCTATTTAGCTCTAGCCAACAGTTGCCATGTGAGAAGGTGTCTTGGTGTTGCCAGATAGTTTCATTTTCCAGGAGAGAACGAGAGTCTGGATTTATTACACTATGAAATCTCCGGATCCCTAAGGATTGGCTCACAATTTAAAAAACCTTCTATAGGTGGAGGCAGTACCTTTAGGGACCAGCTTTGGCCCTGGAATTGCCAGCTTGCAACCTGTGCTGCTCTGCTTTATAATGTTAAAATATTTCACTGTGAGAAACTTGTGAACCTGAGCATGAGGCACCACCAGAGCTTGTGTAAAAACAGTGGACAAAATACAAAGATCTTAAATTCTGTTTTAAACTACATCTGAAAGAGATTATTTGTTACGGAAAAGAAAGAAGAATGGGAACAAGTAAATAATGATGTCATGAAAATTGATGAACCCAGTGTCAAAAAGATATGTTTAATAGATTGATTAAAGCTAAAAGCTGGCAAAGATTGGTTGTAAATTTATTTTAGATGTTCTTAATCTAACCATGGTTTTTATATTTACTTATATATTTTTACATACAATACTTATATAAATACTTAAATAAATAAATTCTCTTCCATAGGAATAAGAAAAACATCAAGAATACTTCAGTTACTTGGAGAGGCTAACCATTCTCATTTCCCCTTCTTGCAGCCTAAAGGAAGGAAGGACTTCTCTCTTGGCAGGTACTGAGACAGTTTCCAGTGGACCTGGTTACAATCTGAGAACTGTAATGTGGAAGTCCTGGGAGAGAAGACATGGGCACATATTTCTTGATGATGGACACGATAACAGTTTATAGACTGAAGGACTGCCTTCCAACTGGACATTACAATTTATACTTAAAATAACAGCTTCCTACCAAGAGCAGTTCAGTTTATACCCCCTTTCAATTTTATAATTTTATGTTTTTTACCCCCTTTCAGTTGAATGCACTTTAATTTCTGCAAGAAGGAAGATAGAACTGAGAAAGTTATATAATAATGTATCAATAACAGATTCTCAGAATAGGAGGTCTTAATAGCCTAAGTCTAATCAAGTAAATCTTTTAATTTAAATTTTCATTTTAAAAAGACATATCATTAGTATTGCAGAAGTGTATAAATAATAGGCCAAATTTCAAAATCATTTTATAATATTTATATATATATTTATCTCTCTTTTCTTTTAAACACTCCTTGGTAAAGAACAAAGTATATAAGCTGGGTGATTCATTTTATATGTACTTAGAAAATCATTGATTTGGACTTACATATGGTAGTATTCAGGATTCTCCATTTTCTATAGGCTTTTCTTCTTTTCCTTTTCATTTTGGGGAGTTGTGGGTCTTCAGTTTTCACTGCCCTTTGAAAGTATTAAATTTGAAATTATTTTACCCTCAGAATTTAGGTTTAAACAAATTACTAACTCAATTTATTTGCCAACTTGATAGCATAGTATCTCTCTCTGAATCATATTATTTTCCTTTGAATGCATTTTATGGTTGTAATTATATTTCCCTTTTTCATTTAGTTCCATCTCAACTATTTAGTGCATTGTTATATACCATGTGAACATTGAAACGTATATATACACACAGAAAGACATATTTGTATTTGCAGACATTTAAGATGTAAGTTGTAAAAACATGTTCTTTAATTGATTATTTTTGTGTTCCATTTTTTTCTTATCTTAATAGAAGCACCCAATGTTTTATAAAGTTGCCCTAAATTCAATATTATTAAATATGTTGCCCTGCTAAATTAAGTGGGGTAGGACAATGATTTGCCTTCATTACGTTGTCATTATACACAGTATATTTAAATATATAAGACTGAGTGCACACATTTTGGCAGAGCTTGAAATTTTTTGTAGAAGACTAAATTAATTCTTTACCTTAATTGTGAAATAAACGGTTATAGTCCCTGTTGATGCTATCTTAACTAATAGATAGTGTTAGAGGAGGTACTTGGGGGAATGCAGCCTCCTAACTTTCCAGGTCATGCCTCAAGTAGGTGCTGCCTGTGCTTACAGGTAAGCCTTATTCTAATTGCTTTACTTTAAAAGAATTAAGCTGTCTGTAAAAATGTAGGGATAAAAAGCTTCCCATGAGGATGATTTGTTTTGAGTATGTTTGGACAGGCTATGCCTTTGGACTCCTCAGCTGAGAAGCTTGACTTTTATTTGTTTTACGTATAAAATGGCTGCTGTATGGCCAATTTTGTCAAAAATTTACCTACATTCTTCTTAACTCATCTCTCTCCTCAAAATCACCCATATCATAGTATCTATTGATTTCGAATCCATTTTATTCCATAGACTCTCAAAGTCTCACATTTTTTCTGAAAGTTCTTTTTCCTTAGGCCACGTTTCTTATATGGAACAATTGACACTCTTTTGGCATCTTCCCGTTATCCTTTCTACTCTCTCTCCCAGTTAGCATAGCTAAGTCCCTGTGGCTGACTAGGTGACCAATAATTCTTTTTTCTTAGCAGTCCAGTGAGGGGATTGGGTTGAGTAGAAGATTATTAACACATACTTTAATATCTTTCTTTTTTATCCCTATCTTACATATATTGGATTTTCCTAATTAAAAAAGAAAATGCTTCAAAATCACTTGATTAGATATACAGCCATTATGAAAAACAGTATGGCGGCTCCTCAAAACACTAAAAACAGAATTATCATATAATCCAGCAATCTCACTACTTAGCATATATCCAAAGGAAATGAAATCAGTATGTTGAAGAGATATCTGCACTCCCATGTTTACTGTAGCACCATTTACTAGTCAAGATATGGAATCATCCTAAATGTCCAAGAATGGATAAATGGAAAAAGAAAATACGGCATATATATACAACAAAATACTATTCAGCCATTAAAAAGAATGAAATCCTGCCATTTATGACAACATGGATGAACCTGGAGGATGTTATGTTACACGAAACAAGCCAGGCACAGAAAGACAAATAGCATATGATCTCACTACTACATGGAATCTAAAAAAAAAAAAAAAAAAAGAAAAGAAAAGTTGATATAATAGAAGCTGAGAATAGAATACTGGTTACCAGAGACTGGGGAGCAGAAGAATGAGAGGAGGATAAGGAGAGATTGGGTAACAGGTACAAAGTTACAATTAGATAGGAAGAATACATTCTTGTGTCTATTACAGCAGTAGGGTGACTATGATTAACAACAAAATATTGTATATTATGAAATAGAGGCTTTTAAATGTTCTCTCCATAAGGAAATGATAAATGTATGAATGATATATACACTAACTACCCTGACTGGATCATTATACAACATGAATAGGTATCAAAACATCAAATTGTACCCTTATGGCCAGGCTCAGTGGCTCATGCCTGTAATCCTAGCACTTTGGAAGACTGAGGTGGGAGGATCACTTGAGGCCAGGAGTTTGAGCCCAGCCTGAGCAACATAAGAAGATCTCGTCTCTATGAAAAATAGAAAACTTAGCTAGGTGTGGTGGTGGTAGCCCCTGTAGTCACAGCTACTCAGAAGGCTGAGGTGGGAGGATCTCTTGAGCCCGCGAGTTTGAGGTTGCTGTGAGCTATGATGATGCCACTGCACTCTAGCCCAGGCAACAGAGCAAGACCCTGTCTCAAAAAATAAAGTAGCCTATAAATATGTACAATTACAACATGTCAAAAGAAAGGAAGGAAGGAAGGAAGGAAGGAAGGAAGGAAGGAAGGAAGGAAGGAAGGAAGGAAGAAAGCACTTAACTAGATTATTGATTATTTCTCTGTGGTTCCACATAGTTTCAACCTGCTACACTGTGATTAGTGGCGAGCACTCCAGGCTTTATCTTGGAAGATCTAGGTTTGCAGTGTGACTTTGCTGTTTATGCAGCAGGTTGTGTCACTTCTTTGATTCTAAGTTTCCTTCACCTACAATATAGAAATGGTAACAACTGCTACCTCACAGAGTAGCCTTGAAGAAGTACAACTGACAATATGCTATGAAGTTTCCACTCAACTGGCACCTGTTATTCTTAACTCCTCCTGTTAGAGTGTATATACATACTCAACAGAATACATTTATAATTAGAGCTGAGCAGTGCTGGCTTTGAGAGACTGGCCACCGTGTTAGAGTTGCAGGTGAGTGCTTAGATAAGGCTGACCAAACTGTAAATTCCTTTTGAGCTAGAATGTCTAGAAGAAGTTTTCAAGATCGTGTCATCCAAAGTTCTCATTTTAGAGGTGAAAGGCTGGCACCCAGACCATCCTTGCTTGTTACATCTCACTAATGGTGGCAAAGCAGGACCAGCACCCAGGCTGTTAAGAATTAGGCAAGCCCTCTCTCTGAGCAGACACACATGGAATAGATGCCCTGAGATTGCTTCTGATCCTACAGAGCAAATTTTATAGTCACTTTGCACATTAACCATCTTTGTTCCAGAAATTTGAATGTACTCCTGACTTACTAAAACTATGGTGCTCAAAAAACGGTAGTGTTCAACAGGGATTTTGGGGGGAGACCTACATCTTAAGGAAGTGGAGAGAATTGTCGGGGGGAAGGGATTACCTCTATCTCTTTTTAGGGAGAGGCAAATATATACATTGTAACCAAAATGTCTAAAAAATAATCTGTAATTGGGAAGTGGGCCGGTGGAAGCCAGGTGGAAGGGAAGGGTGTGTACTTACACGGTGGGTTCAGTGCGCACCACCTGGAGGCTGGACACGCTAGAAGCTCTGGCATAGTGGGGTGGGGGAGGGGAGGCCAGGGGCAAGATATGTAACCCTAACAATATTTGTATCCCCATAATATGAAGTAATAAAAAAATAAAATAAATGTTACCCATTGTGTTAAAAAAAGAAGAAATTTGAATGTACTGTATGTACTTAGTATCTAGCACAGTGCTTGACACAAAATAGACACCTAATAGATGCGCATGAATAAATGAATTAGATGGGCAGCACCAATCTGTACCCAATTATGTTTTTAAAAAAGTGCTCTCTTGTGTTTCTAAATGTATTCTTTTCCTTTTACAGTGTATTTAATTTGTTAATAGTAAAGGTTCTGTTTTTTTTAACAGATAAATTGCTCATACTTTTTCCTACTAGGCATCTCCCTTGCTCTGTACTTCCATAACAGGCGCCGAAGTCAGCTGATGGCAGTTCCTGGAATCACTGGCCTAGGTCCCATATGCAGCTTGTAGAGATGCTATCAATTCTGCTTTAATTGAATGACAGTGAACATTTCTTCCTAGTTGCCTGTGACATATGGCACAGCCACAGCCATGCTGTCTAAACTGACCCTAAGCAATACGAGTGGGAGAAGTTGTTCTTTAGCATATCAGCCTTCTGTTTCTGTGCTTTCTTTTGTTCTGAGTTACCCTCTTCCTCCAAGATGGCCAATCATTTGATGTTCTCTTCAGCCTCTCTCCCTCCTTTTGGAAAGGGCCTCATAAAATTATCATAAATTGCTTAGAACACGAGCAAAGCAGAGGCATTGAAGAAAGCTTTATAGCATTACAGAATTTTATATTTGATTTTTCAAAAATGTCAAAGTTGTCATCATTGGAAAAAATCAGAATATGGTTGTATTTCCTCACACGTGCTTTAGAGCTTTTAATTTCACACGGAGACACCATAATCGTTTCAAAGCTTTCCTACAATGATTTCATAATATTTACATATTTCCTATCTTGAAAACAGATATTAACACGTTCTTCTCCAATCTCCTGTCTCTCCTGCTCTTTCCACATTCTTGATGACGGGCATGACATACATGTCATAGGAAATAGAAGCTGGCTGAAGCTCTCTTGGCTTTCTAATACTAAAGCTTGCAACTGCTTTGAATTCGTACCATACTCTATCAAATCCCTCTTATTTTGGGGATAGTCCCTGGACTATTTTCCTGCAATTATTCTTTCTTCTCCTGCAATGTCAATTTCTGTCTTCTACTGTATCACTCCACCTACTGTCGCTTCACCTTTATAGCCACACATCTTGATAGACTTGTCTACATTTTCTGACTCCACTTTCTCTCCTCAGAGCCTTTCCCAAGTCTACTCTAGAGCACTACCCTAACACTGTATTCTTACTACTCCACTGAGGGTACTCTTACCCACGTCACCAGTGACATCTGTATTGCCCAAGCCAAGAGTTTCATCTCAGGTGTCATTTTATGCACACTCTCAGCAGATGTTGACACCAATGGTCATTCTTTTCCTCTTGCATCAACTCCTTCCTTTCGATTCCATACTGCAGCCTGTACTCTCCTTGTTCTTGTCTTGCTACCCCAGGCATTCCCTCTTAGATGTTTTCGCTGGATCTTCCCTTGCTCAGTCTTTAATCTTTAACATCTTCAGGGTTCCTTTGGCTGCTTCATCAACTCTCTCCTCAGGAAATCTTGTTT